GGATACGAGCATTATCTTCGTGCGTAAAATGTAAGTGAAAATGTAATTTTCCTGTGTGATTTTACCGCCAGCTGTTATGGATGCATATAGACTGTAAATCTCTCACCTTGTAGGTGGTAAATGAGGGCTTAAGAGCATGGGAACAGGATATGTCCATGGCTATTTTTATGTTGTGTGTGAGTATATGTCCTGTTGAATATATATAGAGCCATTATTGTAGCAAAACTATTTACAAATTTGAGTGGAGAGTTGTGTAACTGTATCTCAATATGTGTGTACGTAATCAGATTTGTAAATGTGTAGCAGAATCTGTAGATACGTACTGAGGTTTGTGAATGTGTACAGGAACCTGCAAATGTGTGTTCAGATTTGCAAATGTTTTGCGATTTGTAAATGTGTAGATAACATATTAATGGATGACAAGTCCAAGTATTTGCTCCAAGACCTGGAAATACAGACAATGAATTGGTTACAACTCAGGCAGGACTCTCAATTGGCTGTCTTTATACACAAGACTTTTGCTACACTTCTACCGTGGCAGAGATCTGCAAATGCGTATGGCGATTTGTGCGCGTGAGGAAAGATTTGTCTGAATACAGATTTGTAGATTTTTTACACGTTTACAAATCTGACGTACACACAGATTCACTTACATTTGTAAATAGTTTTGCTACAATAATGGCTTGACCAATAAGAGCACTAAAAAAACTTACTTACTTCTAGCAGGCTTTGTTGATACTTTATTGGTTAGGAAACTGCTCTAACAGTGTACATGCTGTGTCTCATTCAGCTATGCTCTTCGGGTACCCAAAAACTGACTGGAGCCAGTGAAAATAGTCTTTTTTTAAGTAAAAAGGCATATCAACATTTGGCAAAGAAAAGACAGTCAGACAAGGTAAAAACCTGTAGGCAGAAGGTAGTGTGGTGGCTGGTGGGCAGGTAAAGAAAGGAAGGACTGACAAAGAGAACCTATTTTATACAACACAGTGAGTATCTGTAAATAAATAAACAGTGCACATTACCCAAACAAATCAAGAAACGATGGGTTAGTCTGTTTACCTTTGATGTAGTCTAAATGTTTATTACACATTTCACACTAATTTAAAGATGAGGTTTATTTGTTGTCCATCTGTCACACAGTGACATTAAAAGAACTGGCTCCGGTTTGATGCCCAGAGCGGTTTCCCATTGTGACCATGTCCTCTCTATAACACTGCTTGTTTTTTCATAGTAGTTCTTAATTCCCTTGTTTCCAGGTAAAGTGCTGTGTTTTTCAAGTTAGAGGTCTTATAGAAATTCAGCTTGGTTAAAGAAATTAACTTTTGTGGTATTATTCTCATGTACAGTATCAGAGTGGTCCAACATTATCCTGTGCCACTGTAAAATACATATAGGTCCCTGCTGCAAACACGCTACTGCTGTGATGTCTAGTCAAGTGTCTGCTCTGATATCTAATATAAGTAGTAATAGTGATATTGATCTAATAACAAGGAGCAACCAGGTCAGGTCTGGTCAGGTCAGTATCACTATCAGGAAATGTTAGCCAACAACTGGCTGTCATGTCCTACTTAGACATGTTGTGTGTGAGAGACAGGGGATGAGAGTGTGCTGGTGTGTTTCAGGCAGAGCTGGTATGGTGCACAGTTACACACACTCAGATCAGCTTGCAATCACGCACAACCGCTCCAACACACACACACACACACTAAGATCAGTTAGATTTGCTCGGCAACCCTATCTCCTCCAGCATACAGCGACACTTAAAGTAGATTGGTCAAACAACATTGGGTGCTTTGTCGTGAAACTAAAAATAGGCTAAACAAATATGACATTTTGCTTTGTATTTGCTGGTTCAGGATTTGTTACTGAAAGTGGCTAGTAAAAGAGTACTCTGCTGATTTACCTTTGTTTGACTTTTGACAAAAAAGGATCAAAACCCATGCAGCAGAACTAGAAATATCTATCTTTTATATACCAGGCATTCTTCTTCCTTGTCAAAATCTGGCGCTTACATTACCCACAATCCAACTCTATCCAACTCGACAGTTTGGTCAGAAATGTAGGTGTGTTATGCTCGTAGCCACTAACTTCAAGCAGATGAGAAGTGGGCTACAGAGGTCTGGTTAAACTCACTTCTTTCCATCTCCACACGCCGTATGCAGTAGAACACCTCAAGACCTGTAAACATGCATCAATCATGGGTAAAATCTGTGAAGTTAATGTAACTGTACCCCTTTGACAGATTAGCTAAATTACTTTAGCAGTAAAGTTCTATTGATTTTATTAGACTGTCTTTTAATATGATCAGAAATGGTTGGCTGTGTATGGATAAACAAGGACAGGCTTGGTGAGAAAATGATTTCATGTTTGTGGATTAAACAAACATTTTAAATAAGTTGGTTTTGTTGGGCTTTCATGAGATAAAGTCTGTCAACAGTCACATATTGCCCAATGTGCTGAAACGATAAACGTGACTGATAACTTTGCAGTAGTGACAGGTCTGAAGAACGACCCAGAGCAAGACTAGACAGGTTGCATGTGTATTTTAGTAACTCTCTTGATGTTCAGTTTAAATGTTGCTGTCAGTAAAGTTTAACTCTGAGAAGGAGAATCGGACAGAGATCTAATCACTCCTTTAAGTTTCATGCTGTTTTGTTTGTGAATTTGTCCGTCTGGGGATTCGGATGACAGACAAGTCTTGTTGTCTTGGTCTGCCGAACATGACACCTGTATGGCTGAATGCATCTGAATGGAAGTAATATCTCCCCCCCCGTCTCTCCCGCTCTCCCTCTCTCACTCACTTTCTGTTGCTGTCGTTGGCTATCAGTCTTTTGTTGTAGAGACGATCATGGCTGCCATCAAAGACGCCAGATGAAAGGAGGTCTCTATCTTCACCTCTGTCCATCTCTCCTCACCCCTCTCTCTTTGTCTCTCCCTCTCTCTGTGATTTCACATCCCTCCCCTCATCTGAACAATGAACAGAGCCAGCCACCTGTTCTTACAAACCGTAGTTGTTACTGTAGCATGACTTCACTTCCAGAAACTGATTATGAAGTCATGTTTGTGTTGTTTCAGGATTCTGATTTATTTTAGGTTGGTTACATGCACTTGACTTTTCCTACGTGGATATATCATAATTATCACAGATGAAGCCTTATTCGGAGTTGTTCTTTATTAAAAAAAACAAAAAACGTTGACAACTCTTTTCCCAAACCGTCACCTTACTTTGTCATAACAACATATGAAATACATTATAGCTGAAATAGATAAGACAACAGAAAATATATCAACTATGCAATTTTTACAATCATTAACTGTTGAAGGAAGCATACAGTCTTCAAGCGATGCCAAAAGTTTACTGGTTAAAGCCCTCAAATCTGTGTATTTTTTGGTTTTGTACAATTCTATGATAGAAAATTGAATATATTCAGATTTGAACTGAATTGTCACTATTTTCTGACATTTTATAGACCAAAGTATGCAGATTAATCAGTAATGGTTAGTAGCAGCCTTGAATTAAATCAGGATTGTTACATATATATCAAAAAGCTAAGGCACTTCAGTCTGGTGAAAAATTATTTAGTTGTTGTAGGTAGCCAACTTACTTACTTTTTGCACCTATTATCTTCATTGTACAGGCACACACACACACACACACACATGCATGTGCAGACATACATACATACATATGGTCTTTCTCTCATGCATACATCTATCTATGATTTATAGGGTATGCGGCTCTGGGTTCATAAAAGCCATGATTTCCCATAAAATGTCAGTGAAGGTGGTTAATATGACACGTGGAGGGTGTGTGTGTGTGCACCCAGTGTAGCAGCTGAAAGCTAGCAGTCATGTAAAATATTGATATTCCATGTGTAAATGTCAGAATGAGAGACTGCGTGTAGTGGCGCTCAACTCCACCGGTTTAGAGTCCACTCTTCCTTCTGTTAAGTTATAACAACTGATATACCAAATATTCAAATGGCCTGTCTGGACTGTCTATTGCTGCTGAAATAATTGTGTTCTTTCTTACATTTCTGTGTGTTTTTGTTTCCTTCAGGATGCTGCTGGAGAAGAGCTCAGGGGCGCGGCTGTTTTTTTCTGTGACCGCGTCTGAGCAGGCAGTCACTCTGCGGTATGGTCAGCACAGCAGTCAGACTCTGCAGACTGTCAACTTCAGAACTGAGGGGAGGCTTACACTGGACAGGTGGACACACCTAGTTCTGCAGGTAACAAATCTCAAGGGTGTACGGGATCCTGATGATAGCTTGACTGCACTGCTGAACATGCCATAATCGCTCACTATGAGACGCACATGATTATAAACATGTATGTGTATGTACATCCATCCATTCCGATTAGAGGCGCCGTCAGGTTTGTATTTCACTGTTGCCATAATGGTTGTGAAAGCAGACTGGTCTCTTTTCTGTCTCTCACTCTTCTTCTTTGTCTGTGTTTCTCTTTCATTCTCAGTCCATCTTGTTCTCCTCTCTTTGAGCTAGTGGTAATTATACTAGCAAACATCTGCTTTGGCACAGCTGCTGGGGTCAGGGTACACACACATTACATCAGACACACATACACAGATAACATTTTCACATGTCCTGTATGGAAAACTAGCTGCAGAACCCCCAGGTCTGTGGCTATTTTCTATTGTTTTCTGAGTAAAATACAGAAATTGATGTTTTCTTTCTGTAAGGTTGTTTAATTGTATTGCTTGGATGTGTTTCTAATTGGTGGTTGTTTTCAGATTTGTGTAGATAACATAGTATTTTGTTATCTTTGTTATCTATTCAGGAGTTGTTGAGTCGAGTTGCGATCCCGTGAATACAATTTGGTACATTCAGTTTCAATATAAGAATGTAAGGATGATTATAACATAATTGTTTACAGAAATAAATCCTGTTTCATAGTTGTGGATCAGTGATATTGGATTATTTTACAGCATCTGTTTGTGTTAGTATGGAGAACCTTGTTGCATGTTTAAAGGAATGCTAAACACAAAGATGAGAGTTTTTACCTTTTCACTGAACCACAGAGAATTGCAGATGTGTTGAAGATGTCAATTTATGTGGTGTATGTACTACAACAATGTATGTATTTGTGTTCTTTATTTTCCCTTTTTTGTTGCTTCAGAGCCAGTTGACCTAAGTGGTACATCAACTAGAAATTTTAGAAGGCATCAGAAGTCAGAAATACAAGGCCGTCATGGACAGAAAGAGGCATTCATTAGCTCTGATCATTCTGAAATGGCAGCAAGTGAAGTGGAGAGAGTCTTGAGGCCCTAAATGAATCTGTGTGTGTGTGTTTCTGGTCTGTTGAAGAGTATCATTTGACAGATTACTCCATTGGACAATCTTTCTCTTTCAGCATCTTTGAATAACACCAGGGCTAGTAGTGTAGAAAACACGCTCACCATAGCAAGCCTTATCACTAAGTGCTTAAGTTGTTTGTTTGTTTCCTTTTTTTAATTGCGTACATGCATGTTTGCATGGAAGTTTTTTTGACCTGGCAAGAATTTTAATAGGCCATATTACAGATATTACATTTTGTTAACCGTTTGATTGCCAGTCCCTGACACATTTAGTTATATGCCATTGCATTGATAATGCCATTAAATAACACTCAAATTAAATCCATGTCTTAAATGATAAAAAAAAAAAGAAATAATTATAAAACAAATGTAATCGATTTTGCCTGGTGGGTGTACAGCAGTTTGGATTTGGATTAAACGAGATCGAGCAAGTTAATTAATAAGATTGAGAGGTTTTGTTAGCGGTATTGGTATCTGTTTTGCCCCTGCTTCCAGTTTTAATGCTAAGCTAAGCTAATCATCTTAAGACTAGCTCTATACTTAACGCACAGACATGAGAGTGGGTTCATGTCACTTACACTTATGGTGTATAAAAGAAATTCACAAAATGTAAGATACTAAAATATTAAAAAATATATTACTAAGACGTTATAAAAAAGATATAAAAAAGTGGCTTCCTTGACTAGTAGGCAAATAAATAAGTAACCCGTTTTTCCTGTTATCATAAATTAATAATAAATAATAAATACATTTTTTATGATTAAGTCATATTTTAAAATTATGTTTGCAGTAATCTCTTAATCTCACTTCTTTATGATTTCTTTGCAATAATATCCTATTCTGTAATAAGTGCAGTATGTATTTAAAAGAGAGAATGGAGGTGCCAAATGCAGGTAGATAAAGGAGTGTACTGCATATCAAAGGGAGTTTGATTTAAAGCAGTGATTCAAGGCTGGGAGGTAAGTGAGGAAGTTATACATGTTGACCACTACTTAAAATGTATCGTGCCTAGATATGAAATATAACTTGACAGTTTAACAGTTAACTGGCTGGCTGATTGGTGTTGATGCCTGGTTACAGTAATGTGGCAGTCAAACATGTTGTTGGCTAAATGTAGTGTTGCTGATGGCTCAATTGCTAACAAGTGTACAGTGTATGCCCTGTAGGGATCAGGTTTTATATATATCTGTGTGCAGTATATGTGTGTTTTAAAACTTTGTGTGTGTGCGTTGTTTCATTCTTGTGAATCAGTCTGCCTTTCGTTTAATGGTATGATGATGTGATCTGCTTTGACCATTCAGAAGAATAACATAATCATCCTTGACACTCAAACACCATTCGCATACTCCCATTCTCATGCATGCACACACACTGCTCGCTCTCTCGCTCATACACACAGATACACACTCACACGCTCACAGTTCAGCTGTAATTTGTGGCAGACTTGTCAGCCACAATACAGACATTACCCTATGAAGGAGCTGGGTAATTTAGAAACCTTTCTTGCACACATACAAAGTACTAACACACACCTCTCTCTCTCTCTATCTCTCTCTCTCACTCACACACACACACACACACCCGTCATCTGTCGGTTTGAAAAGATCAAAACACTGAAAAAGACAGTCAAAAGGAATACGGGTTTCCAAGTGCCAGGAGCAATTCACACACACGCACACATGTACACACACAGTGCCAGGAGCAAGGTGCTGTAGGGATGCTGGTGCTCCCTAGGTAGTTGTCTTATCTGATTATGGTAACGATGTAGTGAATAGTGGAGGAAAAGGTAGCCTAGGGGAGGGAGGGACTGAGAGAGGGGGAGAGAGGGGGAAAGTGATGGAGGTGGCTCAGTGTAGTTAAGTGATGGTTACGGAGTCAGTTTACTGCGCCACTCACTTTCCTGCACATTTCTGCAGAATTTATTACTAATCAGTAGCGCTGTTTATACGCAGAAAAATTATCTTTCCTACTGCTGTGGATGAAGGAGAGTTAAATTGGCTGATGATCTTCATGTAATTAACATAACTTGCTTTCTTGGTGGATGTTTTTTTTTTGTCTGAAGTGCCTCATGATTGCATGAGAACAGCATTGGGTATTTTTTTTACACCTTGGACTTAGTTTTACAATGAGCTGCCTGCATTGTCCCTATTACGACTAAAATGGGAAGATGGAGACAAATGTTGCATTGCTTTATATTAGTCTGTTAGTCTGTGTTGACTCCAAATTATTTTTGAATGAACTTGAGGATTTTCTTTTTGTGTGTGCATCTTCATTTTGTATTATAGTGAAAGGGGAAGCAACATAAAATGTCCATACCTGAGTATTGAAAATGTGCTGCAAGTCTTCCTAGTAGTAGGTGTCAGTATAAAGAGGAACAGAGAGATAAAGAGAAAAAAGTGGCAAAAAGAGACCGCAAAAGATGGAAAGACGAGAAAGGAAAAGAGTTTCACGATTTAAATAGCTTTGGAGTACTATCTTTTGGAGTACCAGTGATTGACTGTGTGCCTGGAGGACCCCCAGAGGGGTCCGTCTGTTAGTGCCTGAGCAAATCAGCATTATCGGATGAGGCAGTGGCAGGGACAGCCAGTCACACCGGTCCCATCACGGCCCAACACGGTAGCATGAATGTTTAACACTAGTGTGTACACACACGTACACACACTCTCTTTCTTTCCCTTACTGTTAAACACATGAACATGCTACTGATGTACACACTGCCTCTACATACACACAGATAAACAGCTGGTTGCTTCTAACAGAATTGTTAGGAAAGGGTGAAAAAAGACACACACACACACACAAACACATCCATCTATGTATCTATTGCAGGGAGTGAACTAGTTCTATCTAATCTACAATTTGTTCTCTAAACCCTGACAGCTCATCTGCTTCACTACTCTGCTCTTAGACACTTAGGCTGCTAAAACCTCAACTGGATGCCATAATAAGCTTAATGAATGTTTTCATGCACAATTACACTGGAAGACTCTGGCCTGTGTGTCGTCTGTAGGACTGGTTTTGTCTTGGCAGAAGAACTACTCTTCCAACTAATCTGAAACCACCACAGTCTTTCCATCTCTCTTTCTTTCTTGCATAGATGCATGTGCACATGCCTCATCGCCCCGCTCTATCTGAGGCCCTTTTTTGCCTTTCTTTCTTTGCTTTCCTCTTCTTTGTCCTTGGTCTGTTTCTCCTGCAGGCTCTGCTTTCTCTGCAGTTCTTATTTTATTCTTTCCCCCTCTTCTTTCTCTTCCTTACTTCTCCTCACCTCTTCCTCTGTGTGTGACATATGCAGTAGCCGAAGATGTGTTTATAGTTTGTGTTTGCTGATTTCTGGCCAAAAGGCCAAATTGTGACAAAGACAAGTGCAGACTCACAGCACAGCGTCTATATGCTTTTCTCTCTGTCCCACCTGGAGTGACAAAGACAGATTGTGATACTGACTAATAGATAATGTGTATGTGTAAAGGCATGTGCATAGACCTTGTGTACATGCATGGAGACACTTTTTGTGCATGTTTCTGTAAGCTCTGTGTATGTTTGCGTGCATGCATGTGCACTACATACAAGTATATTCATGTGTGCATGTGTGAAGGTGAGGCAAGGTTGTTTTGTAGGGGTGAAGCAGACACCTCTATGGTAGCCCTCTGCCTGCTGGCAGAGGAGGCAAAAGGGCACGAGACTGGCATCAATTACATAGTGAGAGAGGGGGAGAGAAAGGTGTGTGTATGTGTGATAGGGTTCCAGATTTTCCGTCTTTAAATTCATTTATTTATTTATTTTACATCACTGTTTGGTGCCAGTGTGCAGTCTGGTCCAGCTTGATAGTGAGAGCAAGGCACTAACATAGTCAGGGTTAGGGGTTTCATTCCCACTGGAGCTCTGAGATATGAGTGCTAAAAATGTATGCAGCAA